CTTCGCCTCGGTCCCGCCCTGGCCCCCAACCCAGGTTCTCACCTTCCCGCGATTCAGCGCGAGGTGGCCCAGGCCGAGTAGGCCTAGCCAGCGCACGGTGGGCTCGGGGTCGCACTGCCAAGTGCGGAGTCGCTCCAGGATGACCTCCTCCCGCAGGAGTTGTGCGGTGGGCCGGCTCTGCAACAACTAAGCGATGGACACGGGGTTAGCACGCTCTCGGTCCCCGTGCAGGCTGTGCCGCTGGAGATCAAGTCCACGGCCACCCTTCACCGCCCATCCAGGAAGCAGGCTCACCCCGGTGAAGAAGGCCATAGCTGTGAGGCGCTGCGGGTCATCCTCGCTGCGCAGCCGGGGCAACAAGTCTGCGAAGAGACCTCGCAGGTGGTGGTCCGCATGCGCCACCATAGCACTGGGGTGGGGTGGAAATGGGAGCTCTCGGCTTGGCGACCTTACCCCTGGAGAAGCCCCATCCGACCACCACCGTCATGCCCCTGCTTCTTCCTCCGCCACCCTGCCCAGCAATGAGCCTCATCCTGGCCCTTTCTTACCTGGCCAGCAACAGGACGCCCTCCAGGTGGGTGTGGGCTCCCACCAGCCTCCTCCAGCCTCCTGCCTGCTCCATGCACGTGACCACCATGCGGCTGCCATCGCCTGTGAGCAGGGCCTTCAAGGTCTCCACAGTGCAGCTGGAGGTAGGGGCAGAGGTGAGTGGGCAGTGAGGGCCGAGAGAGCACTGAGTGGTGCCCACTTACCCCAGTGTTGCCTCTCACCTGGCGTGGCTATGAGGTGGTCCTCGGTGGGACAAGACCCAAATCTTGGGAGTGTCTGGGGAGCAGGGGCTGCAAGCCAGCTTGTGCAGCTGCGTAACCAGGGCGAGCAGCAGGTGTGGGTAGAAGCCCCGCGTGGCTCCCACGCATCCCGAAACAGCCAGCATCTCCCCAAGAGCACGTGTGGCCTGCCGGGCAAGCAGCCCACTCAGGCCTGGGACCTTCCAGGAACCAATTGGGCACCAGAGGGACAGGTGTGTCACAGAAAGGACCAGGACAAAAAACCTCGAACATGTGCAGGACATTCCAGAGGCTCATGACTCAGGCATGAACTTGCTGCCCATCCCCCCTGCCCTGCCTCTCCACTCTCCCACTTCCAGCTCCTGCCCAGGTGGCTTAACTCTCTTGCCCCTCTCTGACTAGATCAACCCCCCTAGCATGACTGGCTGGAGCCACCTACCGCCAGCGCCTCTGACTGGGGCTCCTTCACACGCTTCAGCGCCCACAGCAGTTGCACCAGCACCTGCCCGTTTACCCGTTGGTTGCGGCTTAGGCTACGCCAGAGGTCAGCTGCTGCCCTAAGCACAGAGGGATGAGTCTGGCATAAGACAAGGGCTGAGGGCAAAAAGAGGCTGCAGGGCGTCCCCAGGCCAAGTGGAGGCAGCTAGTAGGACTCCAGCATGGGGAGAGGCAGGTAAACCACTACCCCCACTCTTCCCACCCCTCCAAATCCCAGAGAAACAAAATAAGAGGCAACTATGCAGACCACAACACAGCCGGTCAGCGAGGTCAGCTGCTGGATCTGACCTGCTCAGAGCACTTTCAAGTCAGTGACAGCGAAACAAGTCTGGCATTATAATAAATCACTGTAGAGAATAAAACCAAAGATAACGTCTGGGGTAAATTAGCCAAATTGCCAGGGGTGTCTGGGCCCAGAAGCCACCCAGCTTGCTCCCCTGTTACAGAGCTTAACCCTAGGTTGGTCCCCAGGGCGACAACCCAGAGATAGAAGATAAGCCCCAAGACAGGAACCCAGCATCCAAGATCCCCAGGCAGAAAGGGTGAGGAGATTTTTCAGAATTAAAGGTGGGAGGGTAATGGATTCAGGGAAGGAGAAGAAGGAAGTTCTGCCTCTTTATGGCCTCCTGTCCCAGGGCCAGACTCCATTGCCAAGCAGGAAGGGGAAGGAAGCTGCTTGGAGGCCGCTGGGCCGCAGCACCTGGTAGGGTGGGGCGGTTTACCCGTCCGGAGGCAGTGAGCGCGGTAGCAGTGCACACACCACGTCCCGCGCGTGCTCCAGGGCCAGTGCACTCAGCACCCTCAGAGCCGCCCGCCGGGGCCTCCCTTCGGCCAGGCTGGGCACCTGTGCCAGCAGCCCACGCACCAGAGCATACACCTAGTGTGGAGGGAGCAGACGTCAGCCATCAGGCCTCCTTGATCTACGTACTTTTCACTCTCACCAGCACCCCACTCCCATCTAGCAGGAGCAGCCTGAAGCAAGCATGTACTTCAAGCTAAATGCTTCAATCCGCAACCCCCACCCCCACTTGGAGGGGAACCCGGCAAGGGTCTCCAGGGTAGGAAGCAGGAGGGGGCTAACCTGGTCCTCCAATCGCTCCCCCCGGGCTTCCAGGGCTGAAGATAGGGTGAGCGCTGTTGCCTGGGTCCCTGCAAAGCCAGCCTCTTCGAGGCAGGCAGCTGTGTACAATGCGAGATCGGCGAGGGCCCCCTCCTCCCAGGAACTCTGGGGGGCCTAGGGCAGGGGGTGAATAGGATGTGTGGAGTTCCCAAGTCTAGCTCTCTTCCCTGTCCCCCAGCCCTTCCCACCCCTTCCCAGCTTCCCACAAAATCTCATGACCCTCTATTGCTTCCCAGCCTGTTTCACCTTGACCTTACCCCAGATCCAGTACCCCTCTGTCTAACATCTATGTGAGCTCAAAGATGAGCTGTGAGCCCCCCAGACCCATCCCCCCAGCATCCCTTTCCTCATCACTCACCTGGTGGGGTCCCTCAGGATCTGGCCTCAGAGCACTGTTCAGGGAGCACGGCTCTCTGCCAGCTGTGGAGGCAGTGGCCCCACTTCTAGGCTCAGCCTCAAAGCAGGTGGTGGATGCCTGGGCCTGTGGTTCAGCCTCAGGTTTAAGTTCCTGGGGCTCTGACTGAGGGTCCTTGGAAGGGGGTCCTGGGGACTGCCCCTGGCTGACCCGGATCCCCTCAGCCAGAGCTGTCAGGGTTAAAGCCCCCACGGGGGCCCCTCGGGCTCGGCCCCACACTCCCCCAGCCATGGCTGCCTCAGCCTGCAGCACCCGCCACTGCTTCTCCTGGGAAGTCGTGCCTAGGCCTGACCTAGAAGCAGTTCCCGGGCGGGACCACGGGCGGGCCCATGGATGGGTGTGGTGGCGCGTGCGTTGAGTGTGAGCATGTGTTGAGGGCACTGCTGTGGGCCTGTGAAGGAATCTTCTGCCCAGGCTGCAGGAGGCAAGTGCCCAGCTTGGAGTTTGAGTGTCCATGATCTGGCTCTACCCCCCACCGCCCAGGACTTGGGAAAGGGTCGTGATTCCCAGGAGATGGCGGATCCACAAAGAAAAGGGGAGAAGGGCCCTTACCCCTGCCTACCATCCCCTCCTGGCCAGGGGTCCAGGGCAGTTGTGGACAGCCCTGAAGAGGTCCCAGCAGGGTCTAGAAGTTTGGGCCCAGCCCTGAGCTGAGGTCTGATTCAGCCTTAAAAGAGGTAGTCAGGTCCCCACTAGGTCTGGGCCAGCCCTCTGGCCTCATCAGACATCCTGAAATGGCCATGATTGGGTGATCTGTCTCCATCTCTGAGCTTGAGGCAGCCCAGGGGGATAAGGAGGGGAGGGAGGAGCAAATGAGGCTAGAGGAGCTGCTGCCTCTAGAGAGCACTTGCAGGTGCCCACTATTGCTCAGTGGGCCCTTCTGGATCATGGCCAGTCTGAGGTGGTACCACCCACCCTGGCTGAGCCCCTAGGAGTGCACTGGTGCCCTGTGTGAGTCTGGGGCATGTTTGTTCTGCCTAGTGTGTGTATGAATTTGTATTTCTTTCCTAGCTCATGCTTCCCAGGGCTGGCCGGATCGGGCCTCTGCCCCAAATCCCCACCCTCCACCTTCATCCAACCACACAGTGGGCAATGACTAGCTCTGAGCCCAGTGAAGCCAGATGAGCTGGTCTGGTGGAATACCTGGGCAGGCGGAAGTGTTCCTGGAAGCACTCCAGATGATTACCATTCCCTCCCACACCCTTGCCCATCTGTGCCACCTCAGGCTGTCCAGACAAAAGAGGTCCAGGCCTCCTAACCTCCACTTCATGCCAAACCCAGAACCTATCACCTGAGTAGTTCCCTTGGAGTCCATGTTGCCAAAGCTGGTGGAGCCCTTAGATCATTAACTTGCCTGCACAGGGGCAGGGCCAGCCCAGCGCACAGCCAAGGGAGCTGTGGCTGACCCAGGACCTGCTGGCCTGGTGTCTGGAGCTGAGTCACCTCCTGGGGCCTCAATTCCTTCCCCACCCTTCCTTCCCCTTCCCAGGGCTGCTGTGTCAGGAGCTGAGGCCCCAGGGCCTAGCTGGCCTGTGACAGATGCCGGGGTTGTGTGAGGCTGGCAACCACAGAGAATACCTGGGCTCTGTGCTTAGAAAACTTGAGATGTCCTTACTGACCCTGAGCCTGGGTGAAGTGCCTCTGCAGGCATGGGAGCCCAGAGCTGTGCCTGGACCCTCTATTTGGCACCCCGTCCCCACCCCATGCCCCATTGCCAGCCTGCCTCTACCCAGAAAACATCTTGTGCAGCAACTCCCCCAAGTTCAAGGTGGACACCAAAGTCCTCCTTCTACCTGAGGTCTTGCCTGCTCCAGTGTCAGATCTGGCTCCTAACAGCCCAGCCCCAAGCTGGTGATACTCATGATAACTTTCAGGCCTCAGCTCAGGACTCCCCCCATGCCCCCTGCTGGGTCTGGCCTGTGCTTCCCAGCAGGAAACTTCACTCTGATTCCTGACTCCAGTCTAGCCCCTGAAGCCCTGGGGAGGGGGTGGGGGAAGTGAGCAGTGGGGTGGGTGAACAAATGACACATGACAAGCTAAGACAGAAAGCAAGTGACTCGTGTTGTTTCTAAGCAGCCCCCACCACTGGGATTCTCACGGGAGTCCTTCTACATGAAAACTGTCCACCAGAGCGTGCAACTTCTCAGACAGTGCCACCTACAGGGAACAGAGGAGGGGGCTGGTGGGCTGGACAGTGGTGAGGGAAGGGAAACCCAGGGCAGGCTGACAGGCTGGGCCTCCCACCTACCTGGTACCGTGCAGGGCTCTGCAGTCGCCTGTGCTCAGGGCTGAGGCGGCTCAGAGACAGCTGGGCCAAGGCTCTGGACTCTGCCAGAGATGGAAGCGGCTCACATAGCTGCAGGGAAGAGGGAAGGAGGGAGAAGCTCAAGAGGCTGGCTTGGGGTCACGGCTCAGTTGGGGTTGGAGATGTGGGTGAGGGGTGGGTGACCTGTCCCTGCTGGATGCAGAGTTGAAGCAGTGGCTCCACGTGGGCTGGCCTCACAGTACAGGGCTCCTGGGCCCCTCGAGGCCAAACCCTCAGCTCCTGCCCAGCCTGTGGTGGTAGCTCTTCTGCTAACTGCAGCAAGTCCATCAGTAGAGACCCTGTGTGGGTGGAAAACAAGAATAAGATAGGAGAGCCCTGGGGCCTTGGAGGGGCAGAGGGGTGTGGGGGGCTCACCATCAGAGCCTAGGAGCCGGAAGGCCACCTTGTTCCCTGGCAAAGTCTGCTTCTCGGGGTCCTCAGTCAGCTTCATTCGTGGTTGGCCACCCACGGACACCAGCTGCAGGGAGAGGTTGTCAAGATGGCTGGGCCTTATCCTCCATTACCCATGATCCCCCAAACCTTCCCCCACCTGGGCCCCAGACACTGTCCCTACCTTATAGACACAGCCCAGGGAAGGCTGTTGGGGGCAGGTGACCACACTGGTGCCAATGCCAATGACGTTCACCTCACTGCCCTGGGGATGGGGAGTGGAGAGGAGGTAGCAGTGAGTCCAGCCAGGACCTGCATGGACCTGAGAGCCTCCTGGCCACCCTCTGCCTGCCATCCCACCTCCTGGGATAGCCGAGTCAGCTCCTTCTCATCAACGTTGTTGCTGACCGCGATAGGGACTGACTCCAGCCAGGGCACCTGGAATCTGTGATGTGGGTGGACGAAGGAATTGGGGACAGCACCCGAAATGTTCCTGATTCATTCTGGTCTCCCTTCCTCCCCCAGTCAGGCACACCTACTTTTCACCCTTTGCTTAGGAACTCCTGTGTAGCCCCACACTTCGCCTTCCTGCCAGGGCCTGCAATATCACCCTTGAAACTAGACTAGAGTCCGTGACGTGGTCGAGGACCACTGTCTTTCCCTGCTGCATTCCCACATCGGGCTCCCTAGAGGTCTGCCATCAGGCACACCCCCTCCCTGGGGGAACTCACTGGGCTGCAATGGTTCGGAAGACCCCTCGGATCTCCTGGGCCTGCTGAAGCAGGTCACCACTGTCCAGCCTCACACCCACTGCCCGGTAGCCCAGCTCCCCTAGAGCCAGTGCCACTGCCAGGAAATTGGGGAGACCGCTCCTGCAGGAATGGACATGGAGGTCAGGGAGATGCTGCTGCCCTGCGAAGCCCATCCCTGGAATGCCTGGGGCTCACCTCCGAACATTGTAGGAGTCCAGCAGGCCCTGGAAGGCCTGGGGAAAGGCCAGAGCATAGGCCACAAAAGCTGTTCGCTCGCCCGGGTGTGGCTCTTGCACCCCAAGTCCCAGGATGGCACACACACGCTCCAGCCACATCTTTGTGTTAGCAGTCAGGTCCACCCCAGGACCCTCACCAGAAGCTGGAGCCAACATCTGTGGAGTGGGGTGGGTGAAGAATAGGGGCCTGGAATGCAGGGTGATGTCTGGGAGTGGCTGAGGTCACCCTGGGTTGAGGGCAAAGCATGGCGCTGCCAGTGTGCACAGCAGGGCCTGGCCCATCCCTCCCGAGGACAAGGGCTGGCCTAGGCATCTGCCTTCTGGAGTACAGTGGGGTTGAGAAGAGGTACTGACCGGGTCAGGGGGCACCTCACTGCCTGTAAAGGAAGTGACGAAAGAGTGGGCCAGGGTCCCGGCCACCGGCACGCCCCGAAGCTGCCCAGCAAGCACGTTGCTACTGCTGTCGAAGCCTGGGGAGGGAGTCAGGCGGGATTGGGGACTGAGGAACTTCCGGTGGCGCGCGCACCTAAGGAGGGGGGTCGCCTCCTTCCCAGGCCTTGCCTCTACCCCTAGACCCTCACCGCCCAGGTAGCTGTAGGTGGAGGCTGTGAGGCCCCCGTCTGGCCCCTGCGCGCGCCGCAGCCCCATCTCCAGAAGCCGCTTCTCCGGCCCTGCGATCAGGCGAAGCCTGGCTGCGTTGGTGGCGACAAGGCTGGGGGAGCCAGAGGACCCAGGGTGAGGGTCATGAAATCACCCAAGTGGGCGGAGCTACCTGAGGCCTGGAGTTCCTCCCCCAGAACTCCATCCTCATCCACCTCCACCTCTCCTTGAGACCCTCACAGTGGGAGCGGGGAGGCAGCCTTTCAGGGAAGTCCAGCGCGCCACTCATGGAGCTCCGCCTCCTTCAGGGTCTCCCCCAACGGAGCTCCGCCCCCTAGGGGACCGTTCCTAAGTCCGCACTCCCTCCTTGGAACCCCCGCCCCACCTGGCATAGCCAACCAGGCAGAGGAGCGGCGTTTCCAGCAGCTGCACCACCAGGAGCGGCCCCGACACCTGCAGCAGTGGCACCTGAGGGGACAGCTGTCAGCTCTGCGCGGCCCTCCAGGCCCCACGCGGGTCGTCCCCTCCGTCCCGCTCACCCGGTACTCACGCCTGGGAAAGCGAGGGAGCCCTCAGGCAGGGCTCGCACTGTCACCTCGGAGCAGTCGAGGGTCCGAAGGTGCTTAAAGAACGCGGGGTCCGTGTCGGGGGGCAGCACTGAGGCCAGAAACTGTACGTCTGGGGGCAAGACAGGAACTGCGCTGGCGCAAGCGCGGGACCGGGGTGGAGGGGCGTTGGGGGAGTAACTCGTCGGGGAAGGTGGAGATCTTGCTGGGGTCGTAGGGATCTCGTCAGGCGGAGTGTGGGGCTACCTGCGTCCCGCAGACGGAAGGCTCGCAGGAAGCGCACGCAATCGCGCAAGCCGGCGGCCAAGGTGAAGGCGCTGCCGAATGGGCAGCGGCGGAAGAAGAGCTCGAAGTCAGCAACGTCTCGCGCCCGGCCCGCGCGCCAGTAGCCCAGCGCCATGGTTGCTTGGTAGAAGTCGGTGAGCAGCGGCCGCGCCGCCGCGAGCCCCTCGGGGTCCTGCTCTGCCGCCATCGCGCTCCAGACTCCGGGACTCTGGTCAGCCCCGCCCCAGCCCGCGTGACACGCCCGGTCCTATGGCTGCGTTCCTGGGACGCTGCCCTGTGGGAGATTGTCGAGCGCTAAGGGCGTGGAACGAACTCCCGACCCAGGAGGGTGGGACACTTGTGGAGCGACCGCCTCTCCAGGCAAAGGAAAGGGCATGACAAGTCTGTTGGTAATCAAGGGGAGCAGTGGCAGCTGGACCCAAGATGGGGAGGGGGGACGTCATCCTAGCTCCTCTGGCGTCTCCAACACCACCCCAGGGCCCACGACTTCTTTTGAGCATGGCCCAGTTATGGTCACTGGGCCAACTGGGGAGGTCCTCCTAGTCACCTATGTCTCCACCCCATGGCCAGGCAACAAGGTGCGCCTCAGGCCTTGCCAGAGGGTGGAAAGAGTAGAGGACAGACCCAGTCAGACTTTACCCTGAAGACAACAGCTCACCCCTGCCAGCCTCTGCCCGAGGCCTAGGGAGGGCAGGACATAAGCTATACCTAGTTGGAGCTTGCAGCACCTGAACTGGGACACGGGAACACAGATGGGGTCTCCACTATGTCGTTCAGGAAAGAGCATGGCACTCATGAAAAGGGCAAGGAGCTGCATGCCCACTTTCATCTACCACCAGACTTTCTAGGCTATGAAGCCCCAACAAATGTTCCAGGGTGATAGCTTGCACTCCAAGCCCCACTTAAAATTCTCTAAATCTTTGAGGGCATTCAGGGTCCACCACCCAAATAATCCACTTCCCTGTGCCTACTATCTCTGTGGACACCAGCTGATAAGTAACCACACCCTACACCGTTTCACCCAATACAGATACTGGCTATCTTGCCTGCCATGCTGGCCTACAGTTCAGAGAAGGGCCCACCAATGACAAGCACTGACCACACAAGGTTGCCGGGACAGGGGGGAGACAGGACACAGGGGTACAACTCCATAGAGCATAGGTGGCCATATTCTGGCCACTCCGGAACATCATGTGAATGGGCACAGACTCTGGAGCAGAGGTGGCAGGCAGTGCCCCCTCAAGACTGAAGAGAGGGGGAAGGGCTGGGGCAGCAGGCCCTCCAGAGCCATGGAGAAGAGTTCAGATGTCTCTAGAGATGTTGGGAAGTATGAAGGATTCCAAACAGTTCAAACCTGAGGGGTGTGTGTGTGGGGGGGGCGTGGGGTGAGCACATGAACATGGTCACAGTAGAGGCCTCTCTTCTGGGGACAGTTCCAGGCTTACACTTTTGCTCCCATGGGCACAGCACCACCGACAGGAGGCAGAAAGTAGAAAGACAGTGATCTCTCTTCAGCTGAGCTAAAAGATTATTTCTGGCTTAAACAGCTTGAACTTGACTTGCCACTTGCAATGGAAGGCATGAAGACTGAGAGTCAGAGCCGCAGGAGGGAATGGCCAAGAGACAGAGGTAAGCCAGGGATGAGGTCACACAGCAGCAAAAGGCCACAAAGATACCAAGGAGGGTGGCAGCAGCCCAAGGTCACTGTGCAGGATCATCAGGGTAGTGACAGGGGACTGGGAAGGTGATACAGGCCAAGTCTGAGGCCTGGGGCCTAACAGAGTACTGCCCACTAAATGACCAGGACAGGAGCCAGGCGGCCAGAGATTCAGTCTTTAATCATGGCTAGGCCTTACACACACACTTGCACACATGTGATTTCAGATCTTGTTGAAAGCTGCGATGTCGACACTTTGCACCTGAGGAGAGGTAGAGGGCTATCGTTACAAGGTTGTTTCCTAAGGCCCACCTGCTCCTATTCCGTGCCTGTTCAGGAACTTCCTCCATAGTGGGGTTTACTCAGGAACTTGCCCACTGAGATGGGGCAGAGAGGTACAGGGTATGGGCCAAGGTCCCCCAGTCTACTCCCTTTTTCCCTCCCTCCCTCCCTCACGTAACACCCAGTTCACTCACATGCTCCTCAAACTTGGTGATCTCCTCTTCCAGCAAGTCCGTTCCCACCTTGTCGTCCTCCACTACACATTGGATCTGCAGCTTGCGGATGCCATAGCCTACAGGTACCAGTTTCGAACCCCCCCAGACCAGCCCATCCAACTGGATGGAGCGCACACAGGCCTCCAACTGGGCCATATCCGTCTCATCATCCCACTATAGGAAAAAGGGGGAGGAAAGGCTGGGGTCAGCCACCCATCCCCCAAAGGCTCCAGAACATCAGGGAAGAACCCTGCCTAGCCCCTCCCTCAGTCCACTGTGCATACACAACTTTTTCCTTAGAGTCCTCAGAAAACAATCCAAATTCACACGTGCCCTGTCTCTGAATTTCTGTTCTTGTCTCAAGATTTCTGAACCTGGCTTTAAAATCTCTCTAGGACCCAGGAGGGCAGGGGGAGGATAAGAGACAGCCGGCTGGATGGGCCACAAGGCGGCTCTCTGGCAGCTAAGGGACTGGCTGGCCCACTCACAGGCTTGACATCCAGCAGGATGGAGGACTTGGCCACCAGCGCAGGCTTCTTGGCCTTCTTTTCTGCATACTGCCGCAGCCGCTCTTCCCGCAGCCGAGCTGCCTCCTTGTCTTCCTCCTCATTGTCGCTGCCAAACAGGTCGATGTCATCATCCTCATCATCCTCTGCCGGTGTGGCTGCCTTCTTGGTCGGAGGTTCCACTTGGCGCATGGGAGACACATGCTGCCACAGAGGAGGGTAAGGGAAGCTGAGACCCCCTCAGCCAAGGCCCAGAGCAGCCTGGGCTGGCTGCCTCCAGCCTTCCTCCTCACTTGACCTAAAGGGGGCAGCCCCTGTGTACCTGGCTGTGGTTCCTCAAATGCAGGGCCCGGGAAAGACAAGAAATGCCTCTACCCTGTCCTAGAAAATTAGCTGGGGCATCACTATAAACTCTCATGGGGGCCTCAAGTAAACTAGGATCTCAGTCGCTAGCCCTCCCTGCTGCTGCCAGGGCCACCCTACAGAGGAGAGGTGGAAGCCAGCAGGGCCACATGCTTCCCTGCAGAGTCAGGTGTGGAGTTCCTGGATCTATGGAGGATGCTCACCTGAGTCTGTGGGGCTGTGGCCCGGTGGGTAGGTGAACTCTTCTCAAGTAAGCTCAGCCGGGCCTCCAGTTTAGAGAGGGCCTGCTGCAGGTCCTGCACCACTGTGGGGGAAAGGGGAACACTAGTCAGATGGCAGGGACTGGAGACGGGTCCCTCCCCTGTCAGGCCTTGGGGCCTCACCGCCTCGCAGGCTCTGATTCTCCACTTCCAGGCTGGCAATCCGGACGATGAGCTCGCTGTGGTCTCCGCTGGGCCCGCCAGAGGCCCCAGGGCCCGAGCTCTGCAAGGCAGGGGGAGTTTAGGGCTCAGTGCCCCAGCCTGCTCCTAAGGTCCCCTTGTTCAGTCACTCAGAAGCAGAGCCCCAATGCTGTGCAGGAGTCACTGGGTCTACCTGCCATGCCTGAGACTATTGGAACTCACAGGAGGAAACACCTAGGCAGGAGAGCAGGCTTTTCCTGCTGACCTTTGACAGGGTGGCCACTACAGACCACAGCAAAACTCTGTCAAGCAGAATGCACAGGGCCCAGGGCACCCCAAGCTGGGCCATGGCTGTGGTTGCTTGGGGGATCCTGTTGAGCAGCCAGGCTCAGAAGCAGCGTGGGAAGCAGAAAAAGGACTTATAGTCCCAGGGGCAGTCTGGCTCAGGGCTTACAGGGACTAGGCAGCACTACCTTGAGCTGAAAATGGGAGAGGAGAGCAGCTGAGGGCCTGGCGGGAACAGGAGAAAGGAGCATGCTGTGTAGGCAGCAGCCAGCCCCATGCTTCGCCTTCCCCAAGCCTTGCACCTGCTGTCTCATTCACCAAGTCAGCCTCTGAAGGCGCTAAGTGAAAGTGCCAAGGGCCTCAAGCCCACCTCATAGTTGGCCATAGTTCAGCCTGATTGATACCTCCTGGCCCTGAACATCAAACAGTCCTTAGTGAGAGAAGATAAATGTGTGCTGTTTTAAGTCACGCAATTGTGACAATTTGTTATAGCAATATCAAGGAGAAATGAGCACAGATCTTGACCCCTGGAAGTGAGGTGCTGCTGGAATGCTGACTTTGGAATTGGGCAATGGGTGAGGTTGGAAAACTTTGAGGAGCATGACGAAAAATTCCTAGATTGCCTCGAACAGACTGTTGGCAGAAATCCAGATGTTAAGGCTCCTGCTAATGATTACTCAGAGGGAGGTAAGCAGCATAGTAAACAGATCACCTTAGAGAGCAACCTAAATTGTCATGAACATACTGTCGGTGGAAGTAGAAATGTTAAAGGTATTGCTGATGAGGGCTCAGATGGGAACAAGCAGCATGTACATTACTGGCAAATAGAGGACGTGAAGACAGCAACAGGTTGGCTGAATAGTGCCTTGCAGTGTGTGGAAAGTGAGACTTCTAAGTTGATAAAAAATACCTTCTTTATTAAGAACTTATTAACAAATTCTTTTGAGTTGGGGGTCTCACTCTTGCCTAGGTTGGAATATAGTGGTATGATCATGGTTTATGAGATCCTTCTTCCTCAGCATCCTAAGTAGCTGGGACTACAGACAAGCACCACCATGTCCAGTTGATTTTTTGTAGAGGCTGGTCTCAAACTCCTGGGCTCAAGCAATCTCACCTTGGATTCCCAAAGTGCTGGAATTATAGCCATGAGCTATCAAGCCCAGCCTCCCTTTGATCTTTAGCTGAGGGGATTTCCATGGAAGGTGCAGCCTAATTTCTTCTTGTTGTATATAGTAAAATGGGAGAGAAAAAAGAGGAAGAAAAGGAACCAGGACTTAATGGTTTGGGAAATTCTTAAGCCATTCCAGATTGTAAAATGAGGCAACTCTCTGTCTAGAAAGCATGTGCTGGAGAGAAAGCCAAGGTGCTTTTTTGTTAGTGCGTGGGAAGGATCAAAAGTTTAGGGTATTTGAATGGTTCCCCAGAGATCAAGTGTGTGGTTCATGGATCCCCTCAGCCATTTCAACAGAAGCCAGGAATAGAGATATTATCTAATATAGATGGACAGATGGAGAAGTCTCTTGTCTAATGCTCTGGATCCCTGAGACATATAAAAGAGATCCACAAAGTTCTTGAGAACTTTATGCTAGCAGAAATACTGCCACCTTGGACCAAAGGGTAGAGATTGGATGAAATCAAAGGCTGCAGACATCCAAAATCCTATAGGCAGGAAAGCTGATAAAATCTCTCAGCTGCAAACAGAGGCTATCTTCCATAAAAAATGACCCCAGGGCAGGACCTTGAGCTACACAGGTCTTTGCACCTCAGTTTACCTGGCTGGATTTTGAAACTGCCTGGGACTATCCTTATTCCTCTTTCTCCCATTTTGGATGGGAATGCCTGTGACTTTTACTTTATGCCTGCCCCACAATTATATTTTAGAACCTGATACTTTGTTTTCCAGTTTCACTGGTCTACAACTGAAGAGAAATTTTGTTTAAGGATGCGCCATACCACAACCCCCCATGCCTGATTCAGACGAGATTCTGGACTTAAGTGGATGCTGTAAGGACTGACACACATGAAGATGCTGGAACAAATGCATTTAACAGGAGATGGATGAGAATCTCTGGATGCTCATGTCCCAACCCTAGAACCTGTGAATTCCTTATCTTACGAGGAAAAAAAAAAAAAGCAAAGATGATTAAATTTAAGATTTTGAGATGGGGAGAATATCCTGGACCTAGGATCCTGGATGGCCCACAGCAATGACAGGAATCCTTGTAAGGGACAGAGGGAGGAAGGAGGGTGAGAGGAAACGTATAGACAGCAGCAGAGACTGAGAGTGATGAGACTGCCTGCTGGGGGCCACGAGCCAAGCAGTGTGGGTGACCTCTAGCATCTGGAAAAGGCAAGGAAATGGACTCTCTTCTGGAGCTTCCAAAAGGAACATAAATCTACTGACACTTGGATTTTAGTCCCATGAAACACATTTTGAACTTCTGTCCTCAAAGACTCTAAAACGATAAATATGTATTAAGCAGGAAATTGGGGTGATCCATTATACCAGCCAACCCTCAAGGCCAAGACACCTTACCCCCTTGGTCTCATGATGAGAGCAAGGTCTACCCCTTTGGGGGCAGCAGGCCTGCCAACTCCTGAGGACATGACTTCCCCAGTCAGTCCCAGGCAGGCCATGGCACAAAGCCGGGCATAGCCATAGCCCTCTACTCCTGATCTTGGTCTGGGGCCCAGAGGCCTAACAGGGATGCAGGGCCCCTCTCTGGGTCTCAAATTCAAGATGCTGCTTGTTCTATATCTGAACTCCATGTACCCTGTGAAACAACCACCCCTCTCCCTGGAGAGGAAAAGAGGGAACAGAGGAAGGCCCAGCAGACATACATGTTCCTTCAGCAGGAAGCAAGCAGGAAGGAACAGGCCTCCAAAGCATGTGCCCACAGTGTGCACCCTGCAGAAAGACATGACTCAGGTCAGCCTCAGTCCACAGCTGGCACTGCAGCTTGTTGGTCAGGGTGATCACCAACAAGGTAAGAGAGGCATGGACAGGATGTGAAGAGTAAGAACATTTTCCATGGTAATCTGGCCCTGGAGACCACAAGGCCACATGTCCCACAAGAATACAGCACAGCACATTTAAGCCTAAATTTGCTCCAAAGGGCCAAAATAATCAGCACCATTGGGGGAAAAAAATCAGACATGCTATATGGCCGAGCATGAGCCCGCGGGTATGTGGGGCCGCGGGTACTCACTCCGGCCAGGGATTTCTGGATGTTCTCTCTGGCTCTCGCAATGTCGCGAAGGATCACGCTGGCGCCGTTCTCCTGCAGACAGTGCAGAAAGAACCAGTCTTTTTCTTATTGTCTAAAAAAATTTTAATTTAAAAACAAACCAAAAAAACCCCAAGAACCCACATACAGAGAGAGCAAGAAAGTACTATGCAGAATGAAAGCTCAAGGGGGCAGTGAAAAGTGACAACAGGCCACAATGACAGGCCCGGTGTACACGGTCTGATGGGAATACTTGTGGAGGCTTGGCCTGTACAGGTGGCTGTCTGCTGGTCCCAGCCACCTGGGGGATGGCAGGAGGACTGTGAGCCAAGGGCAGATGCAGCACCAGAGGAGCCAGCCAAGCAAGGCCACCCTTCCCAAGACCCCACTCCCAGCACCCTGCGCAGAGCCACTTGGCTCCAATGGGCCTCTTCCTTCCTGGTGCCACCAGAGGCTGTCCTCCTGGCCCAGCTACACCCTCCTTCATGCCTCATACACTAGTGTTGGGCAGCAGAGCCACCTAGTGGTCTCAAGTGGCTCACCTGGTGGCAGGAGCCAGCCACAGGCCCATTCATCTGCTCATAGTACTTCCTTTCTGCATCGTCATATTTGAACTTGTCGAACCAGATCTTCTCATGCACCAGGAAGTTTGTAGCCATTTTCCTGCTGGGAGGGAGAAGAAAGGCTAAGTCAGCATGACTGGGAGGAGAGAGCCCAGCTTCATCCCTCCCCACAGAGAGCAACTTGGAACAGCCCAGAAGCAACAGGGTGAGCTGTGGCACCCCACCCCAGCCCAGCCCCAGGTGCCTGCTGACAAAGGCTCCAGGCCCCAGGAAAGAACACATGTGGTTCTCAGCAAAATGACACCAAACTCCCAACCCCACAAACAGCACAATCTTCCTTCAGTGCTCTGGTGGGGTCCTAAGGCCTACCCTCCAGACCTGTGGCTCTCAAAGTGTGGTCCAAGAACCTGTGGAAGTCCCTGTTCAGTCATAAATGCTGGGTTTATATCAAACAACAGCTTGAGTCTAGAAGCACATGAGGACCCAGCTGCTTCCAACTAAGCCAGACACCAGAGATTTGCAAAGACATCAAACAAGGCCACTCTGCTTACTGAAATATTTTGTTGTGGGAAATGTATTTCTCATAAAAACATGTTAACATGTAACAAGCTTATTATCATCATCATCATCAGTGTGAGTCAGAGTCTCATTCTGTTGCCCAGGTTGGAGTGCAGCGGCACAATCACAGCTCACTGTAATCTTGACCTCCTGGGCTCAGGAGATCCCGGACTACAGGCATGCACCACCACACCCAACTCAATTTTTTTTTTTTAAGAGGCGAAGTCTTGCTATATTGCCCAGGCTAGTTTCAAACTCCTGGGCTCAAGCGATCCTCCTACCTTGGCCTCCCAAAGTGCTGGGATTACAGGTGCAAGCCACCACCCCCGGCCACTTATTATTTTTAAACAAGTAAATATTTCTAGCATTTCTTGTTTTTTTTTTTTTTTTTTTTTGAGTTGGAGTCTCACTCTGTCACCCAGACTGGAATGCAATGGCCGCTCTCGGCCACCGCAGCCTTGACCTGCTGGGCTCCGGCGATCCTTCCACCTCAGCCTTCCGAGTAGCTGGAACTATAGGTGTGTGCTACCACGCCCGGCTGATTTTTTGATTTATTGTAGAGATGAAATCTTGTCAAGTTGCCCAGGCGGGTCTCGAACCCGCGGGCTCAGGCAATCCACTCACCTCAGCCTCCCAACGTGCTGGGATTATAGGCTGAGCCACCGAGCCCGGCCTTTTTTTTTCTTCTTAAGTTATAGTCTTACTCTGCTGGGCTCAGGCAATCCTTCCGTCTCAGCCTTTCAAGTAGCTGGAACTGCAGCTTATGCCACCAAGCCCAGCTAATTTTTTGATTTGTTGTTGAGATGAGGTCTCACCAAGTTGCCCAGGCTGTTCTCGAACACATGGGCTCAGGCAATCCTCTCACCTTGGCCTCCAAAAGCGCTTGCGTTATAGGCGTGAGCCACCGTGCCCAGCCCATTTCTCTATTTAATTACTAATGTGGTAAAAATCAATAGATGTAGTGAAAGCTGTTTGGAATGCTGAGACCAAAAAGTTTGAGAACTGCTGCTTTACACTAGGGACTATGGCCCATGGATCAAATCTAGCCCACTTGTTTCCACAAATCACATCTTACTGGCATACACACCCAGCAGACAGAGAAATTGGGTAGACAGATGTGTGGCAGAGCCCAGACCACTCCCTCTCTCTTTACAGAGTTTGCTGGCCCCTTCTGGACTGGCCAAGTCTCTCCTGCTGTCCCACTAAGTGTGACATAAATGACCTGATCCTACTCTGCTGCCAATCTCTGAACTAAGGACCCCAGGCCATTGCTGGACCATCCCAAGTGTCCTCTCAGCAAGAAAAGGGTTGAAGCCTGTTACTCTCCTCTACTCCCTCACCCAGGATGCTCTCTTGGTCAAGAAGGGCTGGGTCAGCATGAACACTGGGGCAGGTGGGGGAGCAAGTAGCACTCCCCCATGGGGTCCCACCTTCACCCCCACACAGCCTATCTTGTTAAACCAGCAAATCAAGTCCAAGATTGGTACCACTGGAGGTCCAAGTACCTGCCTTTGGCTGGGATGCTCCTCCCTGACCCAGCTCATCCTACCTCCTAGGAGCCCTCCCCTGCCCCAAGCAGGTAACCATGGCCTAGTCATGTTCACGTGGTGAGCACTTTCGTATCCCGTCTTCTGCATCCAGTCCTCCTGCCTATCCACCTGGGCCCAGCTGGCAGGGGGGAGCCACCTTCCATGGGTAGGCACTGGTCTCACCAGCTTTTTCCCAGGGTGTTGCCTCCAGAGACCACTTGGGCTGCCCTCACCCATCCTGAAACAAGTCTCCCTCACCCAGTGGGAGTTCAGACAAAGCGGGCATCCCTCGGTTGTAGGCTGCCTGAATGGCCACACGCTCGTGTATCTGAGGTACCACCCGCCAGAGGTAGTTATGGATCACAAGGGAATCTGGGGGTGGGCTGGAGGGGCAGGCAGGGCCTGACTCCTACATCTCATGCCCAGGGGAGCACAGGAGCCAGAAAACCAGTTTCAATACTTCCCACCTGGCCTGTGGGCAACCTCATCTTCTCAGCCCTGGTGTGGGACAGCCAAAGGGAGTTTGGGAAGTTGCCCAGTCAAAAGGGGAATGCTGCACAGGACAGAGATTCTGCCCTGTGCCAATCCCCTGCTTGCCCCCACCCTGACAGTCCAGAACTCTGTAGGCCCTAAGGGGTGACCATGGAAGCCACACTGCCCCAAGGACACAACACTACCCTTGCTAAACTTGCTCCTGCATTCAATTTAGCCAGGTCCAGAGATCTTAGGATGAGACCCCACCCAAGGCAGGGAAGGAGAACAAAAGGATCCCCAGACTGGCACAGCTGTCCCTGTGCCTGCAGCCTAGGCCAGGCTGGGCACCCGCCCAGCATGTTTTTCCTACTTGGGTCTCAGGCTGGACATTGCTGGTCCAGACCGGGGACTGGGTCGGTGAGACAGGGAAGCAGCTTCAAGGCGCCAGGCCACACGCAGGGCCTCAGCAGCGTGGTGGCGGCACTCAGCACTGTCGTAGGTGGGCTTGCTGAGCCAGGGGGCCTCCGCGTCCTTATGTAGGAAGTACCAGTAGGGTAAGGCAGAGGGTGCCTCCCCATCAGCTCGCCGTGGCCCAGCCCGCTTGCTCCCTATGGCGTTGCGGCCCCGTCGGTCTCTGCGGCCCCGCCGGGCACCCTCAGCTTGGCTGGCTCGCTCCTGTAGGCGCACCTTCCCAGGAGGATGGCCATCAAATAGGGCCTCATAGAAGCCCCTTTCAGCTGCATCATACTGGGGCTTCTCCAGCCATACCTCCCGAACCAGTGCCTGCAGGCTGCCCATTGGGGGCTGGCCATTGGCTGGCGGGCTGGGCTGGCGGGCCAAGGTCAAGTCGGTGGGGGTCACCTGCTGGCCTGTGCCAGGAGCTCCCTGCCTGTGGCTTTCCTCTGCAGCCAGCAACAAGGCCTGAGACCACTCAACGAAAGCCCGCTCAGCCTGGTCAAAGGCAGATTTGTTGACCCAGATCCCCCAGGTCACATGGTGGCAGGCCACCTGGCTTCCATGGGTGCAGGGACCCCGAGGGGCCAAGGCAGGTGGCTGGACTGCCTGGGCGGCTGCATCTGCCAACCTCTGACGGTAAGAGCTCTCTGCTTGGTCAAAAAGTGATTTGTCCAGCCATACGTGGTCTGCTGACAGGCCCAAGAGAGCCAGGTCAGCCTGGCCAAGCCAGCTCTTAGGGGAGCGCTTCCTCTTCTTTTGCAGGGGTTTCTTGCTGTCACAGCTCTTCCTGGGATCACTCCTGCTGCTGGTATCAGGGGCCTCTGCCTCATCAGTGTCCTCAGTGTCTTCCTGATCAGGACCGTTCAAGGCTGGCATGTCAGCCAGGAGCTGCTGGGCAGAGGCGGCGGCTTGCGTGGCCTCATGCTCGTAGAACCGCCGCTCAGCTTCCTCATATTTGTGCTTGTCCTCCCAAACGGTCTCCAGGACACAAGAGGCCTTGCCGCTCCTCATCTTCCAGGCGCAGCGTTAAAAAGCAAGCACAAGAAGGCAGTTGCAACACAGCGGAACAACCCGCGGCGACAGCGCACCAGGCACCCTGCCTCCCCCCACACCCTCATTCCTGGGGAGATGACTATTGCGGATGCTTCCCAATGGGGGTTCCATGAGATGGCATTTCAAGGACTCGAAAATCAAATCCATGTGGGATCTCCTATATTTTAATTGCAAAACTTGTCTTTACTAATGTGACATGCCCTACGGCTCTCCAAAAGGGGTTGAGTGATACCATTCCAAGCCTCTTTGGCCACAGAAACCTTTTCTTACACAAACTCCAAGTTGCCAGATAAAAATATAAAGTGCTCAGTCTTTAATATGAACAACAAATAGTTTTTTAGTGTTAGTATGACCTATGAAATATTTGAGACATACTTACACTAGAAAATGATCCATTGTTTACCTGAAACTAGGTTTAACTGGACTTCCTGTGTTTTTTGTATAAGCTAAGTCCAGCTACCTCCTTGAGGAGACTAGTGCTTCCACTGTAGAGAAAGGCCTCTGTGGCTGCCCTGAGGATGGGTGGCCTCACCATGGTGTGGGTTGCCTGCACCCACCATGGCCACAATGCCACCTCATCTGGAGCTGGATGCCTTTCCAGCATACCTGCAGAAAGTCTTAGAAGAGGGGAACTCTCTCTGTGGACCTGGCTGTTCTCTCCAGGTAGGGGGTCAGGCAGCACCCCCGAAGGATCACATCAACAAAGAGACAGGGAGGAGGTCTGGCATAAAAGAGGAGCCAAGGGCCTTGGGCAGCAGACACAACTCCAGGTCCATCAGTCTGGTGTTGCTGCCTCCCAACTGAGAAGCTGTCTGCCCACACCTTTGGGTTCACCTAAATTAAAGGGGTGTCAAGGGGCTCTTGCAGTTCCAGATGTTGGGGTCCCCACCCCTAAGTTTTGGTGCCATGTGGTGTGAGAGGGACCATGATGGGACAGTGTGAAGCAGGTTGTGGGATTCTACCGTCTCCTTGCTACTATAGCCAGCAGACAAGGAGTTCACTCGGCCTGCTCACTAGACATGGTACTTTCTCAAGTTCTGTGTGACCTCAGGTACCTGCTGCCCCTGTCTAAAATTAAGGGCTGCTGAGTCTGAAGTGTGCACCAGGAGCCATGCAGGAAATGGCTTTGCCCCTGCTGTGCCCAGATCTTGCTGGGGGAACAGGGGATGTCCACATATGGTATTATGGAAAGGGAAGCCCTAGAGACTATGCCAGCCCAGAATGCCGAGGAGACATCCTGCTCAGGAAGAATAGGCAGGGTCTGGACCACTGCAGCTTCTGGGCCCAGAAAGCCAGGGGGAGAGTTCGCTCTTGGGATGTAGGTAAGTGTCCCTGCACTCACACTCAGCTAGCTTGGCCTAGGTGGTGGCTGTGACTGCCACAGGATTTCTTCCCAGCCAAACCCAATTCTGGGCTCTGTTCCCCAAAGCAGAAGCACCAGGGCCTAGCCAACACCTAGAAGCTAACTTGAGTGGGGCTGTGCAACTGTCCCTCACAAACACCTCCACTGTCCTACTGCTTCTGCAGGTTTGTTTGGTGAAGCCTAAGGGAAGGCAGACCCACCAGGTCCCAGGGCATCCAGCTGTGACTGGGCCGGCTATCTGGTCTGCATCCAGAGGGAGACAGGCAGCCTTTGGTCTGGACAGCAAACCCTGCACACCACTGGCTTCAGGGTCCACGGCCCTCTCCTAACATCCACCCCTGATAAAACCAAAGCCTGACTCCAATGCCCTCAGTGGGATGTTTAGCCATCTAAACCCTACACAGGCAGAAAACTTTAGGAAAGGTCTCCCCCATTATATTTTTAAGTGGAGTGCTAAGTTCTTTAAGGACATGCTGCCAGAATCCCATTAATCCCAGCAGGGAGTTCTATCGGGACCAGCAGGGAGCCAGGGACAGGAGCCAGGGCAGAAAGCTCCATGCACTGCCCCCTCACTCCTCCTCCCCAGGTTAGAGCAGCACTTACCAAGGCTAGGTAGACAGATAGAGGCAGGGGTCAGGAGTGGGGGGTGGGACAGGGAGCCCAAGAGGCAGGGCATTGTGACATCACCCACTGTCAAGGAAGGGCAGTAGGGCCAGTCTGGGGCAGGTCCACCTGACAAAGCTTACCTGCCCCCCAACCTCCTCAGCAGGGGGAAGCTGCTTGGCTCTCACAGAGCAGCACAGGTCTGGGCTTACCCCAGTCCCTACAGCAGCACCCACTAAGCTGCCCCCAGTGCCAATGCCCTGCCAGATCTTATTGACCTAAGTGACCCCAGACCAGACTCCCAATGGAGAAGAACTGCAGCTCAGGGTGTAGAAGCCACTTCTAAGACTACTGAAAAGGGACAGGGCCATTGAGACTTGATGCTGCCACCACTTCTCTACAGGGACTGTGCCATGCGCTGACCTGCCAGTCCCAGGCCAGAACCTGGCTGCTGCCCCACCCAGCAAACCGAACTCCTCTGTTTTACAGATGACACCATAGTCTAGTCCCGCCAGGTAGACTGGGTCCTCCACAAGTGGCACTGGGACTCCCTTGGGTGCAGCAATGGCTGGGGATAGGGATCTTCCCCAGATCAGCTGAAAGGAAACATGAGACACCAGGACAGATGGGTCGGTACTTACTTTTGCTTTGACCTCCTAGGACAGCATGAAGGAAAAGCAGCAAGGTTAGAGGCAGTCAGAAAGGCTAACCGTGTTCAGACACATCATCAAGGCAGCCCGAGCAGGCTGGAGGCCTTTTCAGAAGCTGCTTGTCGAAGCGGCGTAGAGGTGAGTTTGGTGGAGACAGAAGGCGAGTACCAGACAGACCAGCTACCACAATCGCAGGTGGCAGCCAGGTCCACACATACTCCAGGTAGTGCTGCTCCATCAGCCCTTGAAAGGGGTCTTGGGTTCCTGTCAGCTGGAGCCCAGGCAGGCCCTGGGGGACAAGCAGGGACCACTACTGAGCTACCCTCTCTCAACCTGGGACAAGGTAAGTCAGCACCCACAAGTGGCCCCTGGAGCTACTGAGGGGATTCCCCCAGCCCCTACCCCATGTGACTGACGGGCCCAGACTGCTGGAGAAGGCCTAGAAGATGACAAGGAACCTCCTATGGGGGAGAGTAAGCTCAGAGCCCACAATGGTACTTGGCCAATAGGCTGAGTGAAAACTCGGCAGAGGCTACCACTGTGACAATGCTGCTAACCAAGTGCCCCAGCATGAACCACAAAAGACACAAAGCCCTCCCAGACTTAATCTCCCTCATGTGCACAAAAAGGGTAGTCACACTTAGGCTAGAGACACTAGGTGTCCTGCCCCTAACCCCACAAGAGCCACTTTGCAAACCCAGCAAGTTCTGGGAAGGCCAACTGAACACAGGAGACAAGACCCAGCCACCAGCCCCTGCCCTAAGTGGGAATGGGCAAGAAGGACCAAAGCCCTGTCCTCAGGGCCCCTGCCCACCTCATATTGCAGCAGGAAGCAGGACAGGGAAGCACCAGACCCCCTGCAGGGGTCCGATGGAGACAAGGATACTAGGGAGGCAGCTGCCCCTTGGGAGCAGCAAGGGAGGGCCTAGGCAGGCTTCCTAGCAGGGAGGAAGCTCTCAGGAGACACCACAGTGAGCTGCACTGGGAACCTGGCGGTGAAGCCTGTCACTTAGGGAGGCTAGCCACAAATGGCTGGTTGAGGGCAGCAGAGAGCCTCCAGGGACAACCAGCACAGCCCCCCAGCACCTCTGAGCCCACCTCCACATTTCCCAGCTTCCCAGGTCTCTGAGCTTATATGCATGCCGGGAGTTCAATGCTTCCCTTGAGGATACACATATGCAAGCCTGTCACTTTCCAGTAAGAATAGCCTAGGAGCATGAAACAACACTTTTTCAACAACTTCATTCCTATAAATGGTTGGCCCTTTTCCCCCTGCAGTGTACCCAGGCAGTGGCAGGAACTTGCAGGAAAGAGAATGGAGCACAGGGAAGAAAGTTTCCACAGAAGCATTCTCAGAAACATCAGAGCAAAAACCAGGTGGGAAATGGCCTGAGTTCCACCTGTTCCTGGAAGAGGCCTGGACTCCAGGGTGCTGGGCCCACCACCAAGGCCAGCTCTCATCTGTTAGGCCCATCTCGATCCCACCCACTGAGCACCCACGCCTCCTTTAGCTGCCGAGGGTGCCATGGGGCTCAAGTTCTGGGAGGTCAACATGACTAATGACCTGTGGTACAGGTAGCCAATGTTGTGGCTGTGGCCCTGGTGCAGATGGTACCCAGCAGGACCCTCCAGGTGAACCCCTTGGCCTGCTGCAGTAAAGGCAGACAGGTGCTCCAAAGCATGTACAGGACAGGGCCTCCGTAAGCAGACAATATCTACCCTGCCGAGGGTGGGGGACAGTCCAAGTCAGGAGGGCAGGGCCCTGAGGAAAGGTGAGGACATGACCAGCAGAACTGTGCCCACCAAGGTACCTGGGCAAACAGAAATGATTTCTGGGAGGAAATGACTCCCAGGCTCTACCCTTCATAACACCTTCCATGCTCTGGACACTCCATCATAGCCACACACACAGGCAGGCTTCCAGATTGTCACCTTCCACAAGGAGTAGAGGTCAGGGAGGTGGGCAGGGGATAGGGCCTGCTGCCATACCCTCACTCCTGTAAGCAGCACCTCTTTCCAGGATCACCTGGTTGGCTTGGTCTGAGTCTGTGGACCAGCACTGCTCAAAAGGACTTTGTATCTTCACTGCCTCAGAGAGCAGTGAGGAGCAATTGAAATGTGGCTAGAATGCCCCAGAAAGTGGCTTTTCTAGTTAATCAGAACAGTCACACAGCAGGGCAGCCACACAAGACAGACCAGTATCAGAGTGATGCCTTTAGTCTTTTTTTTAGGAGTGAAAACTCCACGGCCCCAAATTCCCACTCAGCATTTTCCTGCCTCTGACTCCTGGATACTCTAGCCCCACTAACATTAGCCTATACTGTCACAGGGAAGGGGCCCTGCACACCTCAAGACCCAGAGGGCTGGTGCTGTAGATGTCCAAGCCACCACACCCTAGGCCCAGCCAGCCCCAACAGTATCCTTGCTTAAATGCCACCCCAAGTCAGTTCTGTTTTCTCCCCACCTGTGGTGCCCTGATCTGACCCCGCCAGCCCAGACCAGCCAAAGTACCTCCTGGTGACTCCAGTGCTGTGCATGCTTTCTTGTCCACCTGATAACATCCATGCCATACCTCACACATAGCTGGGGACAGAAATGTGATGTTTTACACACAGTGGGGGCAATTAAGGCTCTGAGTGCCTGTAGCTGCCCACAGCTGCTGAATCAGTGAGGAGAAGCTGAGGACCCATGGTATGCTCCTCTGCCAGTACTTATCATGTCTTGCTGCCACCAGCTTCCAGCATGCATAAGTCATCTTAAAATATCACCCAGGATGATGGCCCACAAATGCTTAATGGCGGCATTTCCTACCCCGAGCCCCCCCCAAAGTTGACCCAGAACATGGTACAACAGACATACCCCCTTTGTCCTCTGTCAAGCATGTTTGCCCACCCATGCGAAACCCTATAGCGTCACCCAGCACCTTAGGAGTGAAGCCCAGAGGGCCGGGACCTCCAGACAAGTAAGCATTCACTCGGCAACTGGCATATAACCCCAGAGCAGCACACAGGAGATACAGCCATCCCATACTTCAAGATAAAGAAACAGGCCCACACAAGCCTGGAAGGACAACTGCCCTCCTCTGAGGGCTCCCTCCTTTTGCTTTCAGGTGGATCCGGGACGATGGTGCCCTATGGGATTGACACAGGGCCCAGAAAGCACCATACAGAGGCAGGTCTAGAAGGCTGGGTGGGCCTAATGGTTTGTGAGCCAGGCATATGGCATTTTTCTCAGGGGACATTCAGGGGCTCCCTTCACACATGGCCTTTACCTTGTCCAGCATCCTACTGCACCTCCCCATCCTAGCGCAGGGCTGAGGAAATGGCCAATTTCATTTGAGCCAGCCTGCTTAAAGGCTCATGGGGTCCAGAGGATGGGGTGGTGAGAGCTGCAGAAGCCTCCTTAGGTAAGATGATGTGCCTGTGTCCCTCAGAGGTGAGTCACAGGCAGTGTCAATTTAAGAAGCACCCCTCTCATGCAGGGACCACTCCGGAGTTTAGCTACACAAATAGTTCTTTTGTTGCAGGTTGGCCCTTCATTCTGGAAACCTATCCTGATGTCCCACCCCCAAACCCTTTGCCTTTTCCCTGCCACTTACAACCTCTGAAAGCGCTCTTCTTAGGAACAGCATCGCCATCCCCTTCAGAGTGTGCCCACACCACCTTATCCAAATCAGAGCCCTAGTCCAAACCTCGAACCAATCAGCACAACACATCTTTTTTCTATCTCCAGAGGAGTTTCAAGAGACTGCGTCCGTGTCTACCCCTCTAGGTTCAGTAGATTCGTGTAGTAGGTGCTTAATAAACACGTGCTAGACGCACATATGGGCTACAGGCCCAGGAATTGCTGGGGCGGGTGTCGTTACCCACGGAGGCGGGAGCCAAAAGGGGCCTCAGGCCCCCACAGCCTGGCCGAGTGGCTTCCGAGATTTATGGTGTCCGGGCGGCCGCAAGGCGAGTCGCGGATTGGACCATCCCCTCGGGCTGCCGCGATGTCTACGGGCCCGAATACTTGGCCCTCGGTCACGTGGCCTCTGCCGCCTGGTACCTCTGAGCTAGCCCAGAAGCCGCACTTGGCCCACGACCCCTAAGCCTGCGCGCTGGAGTACTTGCGCGCCGGTCCCTAACGTTGCGAGCCGCCGGCGCAGCCGGGGCTGCCCGCCCTCCCGACCCCTCTGGCGTCTCTGGCGCGCTTGGCTCCTTCTGGCGGGACCCGCGGTACTCACACGCCAGCCAAGGACGCAGTGACCAAAGAGGAGAGATCAGCGGGCGCGAAACGCTTGAGGAAAGGGAGGACCACCTGGGTAGCGCACGGGAAATGAAGCACTGGGTTCTACCAAGGGCGGCGGGCTGGGGTCGCGGGGGGACACGGCCCTTGCACACGCCCCCGCCTCGCCGCCGGGATCCTCGGCGCTACGCGGCCGGTAACTTCAAAGGCAAAAGCCAGTCGGAGACGGCCACAGAGGTTGCTCTTCCCCGGAAGA